TTCGTTTAAATTATTATTATTATATTATTATTATTATTATTATTATTATTATTATTATTCGGGTATTAAAATAAAAATTCTTATTATTATTATTATCTTATGCGTAAAATAATTTTTTAATTATAATTTATAATAATTTATATTCGTAATACATTATATGAAAAAACGTTTAATTGTTAAAAACATTTAAATTTAATAATAATAATAATAATAATAATAATAATAATAATAATAATAATAATAGGGAAGAAAAAAGGTTTCGTTAATAAAATTTTCTTTTTTTTTTTTTTTAGAAATGCAACGAATAAGAAGAAGAGAGAGAGATAGAAAGAGAGAGGGGAAAACATTTCCTGAAAATGAACCAGTAAAAATTCATTTTGTGACAATTAAATCTCATCAATAATAATAATAATAATAATAATAATAACCGAGTTAAATGTGGGAGAAAAGAAGAAAATGAAAAAAGGAAAAATGAAAAAGGTTTGGAAAAAAGAGGAAAAATGGAAAAAGTTGGAGGTGGAGAGAGAAAGAGAGAGAAAGAGAGAGAGAGAGGGTTGAAAGCCTTGTTAACAAAGCCTTGTGTCAAATCCCCGTTGTAAATCCCCTTTCCTCCGCCCGCCCCCCACCATCCCTTCTTTACTCTTAAAATCACAATAGTTGACTTTATAATACAGTCTATTAGGGTTTATTATGTCGTATTATCTTCCTTTTCAGTCCCGGAACCAGGATAATAGAAATGTCAACCGGATCGTTTTGGGTTTAAGTGAAAAAATTTTTCAATAAATTTTCCGGAATAAAAAAAAAAAAAAATTTTTCTTCGTCAATTTTTTCTCTATTTATTTTATATATTATTATTATTATTATTATTATTATTATTATTATTATTATTATTACTATATTTAATTTCAATCATTTTACAGTAATAATAATAATAATATTGCGTTTAAGTCAATAAACTCACGTGATAATATTTAATTTTATTTACTTATATATTATATCATATTTCAACCCTTAATAATAATAATAATTTTCCATCATTTTTTTACGATACACATTTTTAATAATAATAATAATAATTTTTTTACATATAAAAAAATTACTTGTATTATCATTATTATTAAAAAAAATATATTTAATTTACCGTCGTAAACGATTCGACACACGATATTATTAAATATATTAAATTATTTTTTTATATTATTTATACATGATATTATTATTATTATTATTATTATTATTATTATTATTATTATTATTATTATTATTATTATAAATGTGATAGTATCATTTACCAAATTATATTATGAATAAAAAAAAAAGTTGATGAATTTTTTAGAAAAATAAGGTTTAATATTAAATGTTATTTATGTAAATATATATACATATATAAATAATTAAAAAGATCACGTGATGTTATGTATGTATGTATGTATATATGTATGTATATTATTTATTTATTTATTTAAAAGTTATTTTAAGGTTTTTTTTGTAAAATTTTTTATTGTTTTTATTGATGTCCAATCCGTATGGATTTAAACAAATGGATTTTGGATTTGTCTTTAAAAAAAAAAAAAAAAAACATGGCGGAAAGGGGGGTAGGGGGAGGGGAAGGGGTGGAAAAAAGAAAAGGAAAATCGCGCCTTAAGTTTTCTCACATATGCGATAACAGCTTTTATAGATTTCTCAAAGTTGTTCTTGTTCTTCACGTTGCCAATAACAAAACCTTAAAATTCAATAATATCTTTTTGATGCCAAAAATTCAATTTACCACTCAATTTCTACCCATTCAATTCTCTCCGGGGAGGGGGTGTGTGTGGGGGGGTGGAGGGAAACGGGAAGAGGGAGAATAAGCCCCCGCTTCCGTTGGAAAATTGAAAATTGAAAAAAAAAAGACAAGAAAAAAAAATTTATTTTTTGTTTATGTTTATCTTATAGTCAAACGG